CCTGCCAGACTGAAGTTCCCACCTTCAGGCCAATTGGTTATGATTTCCAAAATGCCAGGGCGATTCGAATTCCCGATTCGGACACGTTGCGTGATCAAAGCAATCCACTTGCTCCGTGTGGCATCGGTGGTGTGATGCGTAGAGGGCACCTTCCCTTTGAACATCCAGCTCAACACTGGTAATCGGGGTGCCAGGAAGAGCTGTGCTTCGGTACCAATTACCTCTGAAGCTGCTTGTATGCCTTCATACGCCGCTAAGATTTCCTTTTCCACAGGGGTGTAATTGGCCTCAGAACCTCTGTAGCTTTGGCTCCAGAAACCCAGTGGTCGCCCTCACGTCTCGCCAGGCAGCTTTTGCCAGAGGCTCCAGGAGGGACCTTTGTCTCCAGCTGCAGTGTAGAGTACAGTCTTTATATCTGGTCCCATTCTGACTGGTCCAAGAGCCACGGCATGTGCAATCTCTTGCTTGATCTGCCTGAAAGCTTGTTGTTGCTCAGGACCCCATTGGAAATTGTTCTTTTTATGGGTCACAAAGTAAAGAGGGCTCACAATCTGACTGTATTCTGGGATGTGCATCCTCCAGAAGCCTACGGCTCCCAGAAAAGCTTGGGTTTCTTTCTTGTTTGTGGGTGGAGCCCACAATCTTGGGAGCTTCTTTCTTGTTTGTGGGTGGAGCTACAATCTTGTTGATTACATCTGTTGGTATCTGGCATCGTCCATCTTGCCATTTCACCGCTAAGAATTGGATCTCTCAGGCAGGTCCCTTGACCTTGCTCTTCTTGATGGCAAAACCGCCCTCGAGGAGAATCTGGATGATCTTCTGTCCTTTCTTGAACACTTCTTCTGCTGTGTCCCCCCGTACAATGATGTCATTGATGTACTGGATGTGTTCAGGAGCCTTACCCCTCTCTAGTGTGGCCTGAATCAGTCCATGGCAAATGGTTGGACTGTGTTTCCACCCCTGGGGCAGTCGATTCCAGGTGTATTGAATGCCCCTCCAGGTGAAAGCAAACTGTGGCCTGCACTCTGCTGCTAAGGGAATGGAGAAAATGTTGGCAATGTCGATGGTAGCGTACCACTTTGCTGTCTTGGACTCCAGCTCGTACTGGAGCTCCAACATATCTGGCATGGCAGCACTCAATGGTGACGTGACTTCATTTAAGCCACGATAGTCCACAGTCAGTCTCCATTCTCCATCAGACTTACGAACAGGCCAGATGGGGCTGTTGAAGGGTGAATGGGTTCTGCTGACCACCCCTTGGCTCTCCAACTTCTGAATCATTTTGTGGATAGGGATCACAGCATCTCGGTTTGTCTGATACTGTCATCTGTGTACAGTTGTCGTGGCTATTGGCACTTTTTGATCTTTAACTCGCAGTAGTCCTACAATGGAAGGGTCTTCTGAGAGGCCAGGAAGGGCAGACAATTGCTTGGACTCCTCTTCAATCACCGTGGCTACACCAAAAGCCCACCGGTACCCTTTCGGGTCCTTGAAGTATCCTCTTCTTAGATAGTCCATACCAAGAATACAAGGGGCTTCTGGCCCCGTCACAATGGGATGCTTTTCCCATTGGTCTCCTGTCAAGCTCATGTCGGCCTCTACTACTGACAACTCTTGAGACCCTCCTGTCACTCCAGAAATAGTAACAGTCTCAGTACTCTTATGCTCCGAAGGCATTAAAGTACACTGGGCTCCCATATCTATCAAGGCCCAGTATCTCTGAGGATCCGATGTGCCAGGCCATCGAACCCACACAGCCCAGTAAACCTGATTATCTTCTTGGTCCCTTTTCTTCTCCTGGCAGAAGGCAGGGCCCCTCTACTGGTCTTGATCAGAGCACTAGTTGTTGGACTTTGACTTCTTAGAGGCCTTTTTGCCATCGTCAAAGTGGACCTCCATCTTCTTGTGTTTTGGTGATCGCAGTTTCTTTTCTAAGAAGTCTGCATCTACTACGTAAACAACTGTCTTGTCAGTGTCCTTTTGCTTCAGCTCCCTCACTCTAGCTTCAAGCTTGGAAGTGGGTTCACCATCCCACTTCTTCATGTTTTCTCCTTTACTACGAAGGTATGCCCATAGTTGGTTACGTGACCAACGCTTAGGGTTTTCTTTCCTTTGACGTGTGAATGACGGAGATCGTGAGTGAGATCGAGACCAGGATTGAGGTCTAGGTTGAGGTCGTCTTTGTTGATGGCGCCGTGATCGTTCCATTTGCCTTTCTCTGTAATCTCTATACCTTCTGTCATCTCTATCTCTAGGGTCGTCCTCATATCTGGAGTATTCATAATCTCTCTCCATTCTTTCCCTATCATAGGTGTGTCGGTATAAGGGATCGAAGGAGTCTTCCAGATTTTCCTCTATGCTCCTTATCCAAGCACACATTGTGTCCACACTTGTTTCATCCATCTTTGGATGATATGCAGCTATCAAGCAGTTGATATACGGTTTGGGGGCACCTTGAATTACCTTTTTCCACATTGGTTGTGTGCAGGGAACACTCTCG